ATTTATAAAAATTAACTTGAAATTGATTCAAGACCTGAAACACTAAAACTCATAGCAGAAAATGTAGGGGTAAACTTCCTTGAAATTTTTCTTGGCAGTGATTTTTTTTTTTTTTTAGGTATGATACCAACAGTGAAGGAAAAAATGGAAAAATAAAGTGGAACTATAACAAACTAAAAAAAAAATAATAGTTTAAAATGCATCACATAGAAAACACCAAAATGAAAAGGCATTCTAATAAGTGGGAAAGGATACTCATGAAACTTATCTGGTAACAGTTAAGATCCAAACTATATGAGAAATTCTTACAAATAAATAATGAAAAGAAAAGAAAAATCAATTTGATTTAAAAAGTGCAAATAATACCTTGGGGAGATTTTTTCCAAAAAAAAAAAAAAAAGATATGCTAAAATAGCCAACAGGTAGGTGAAAAGAGAAAAATGCACAGCAAAACCAAAATGAGATGTCACCTCAACCCAGTTAAAAGGATTACTGTCAAGTAGAATAAAGATAATACGTGTGAACCTGTGGGCAAGAATATGGAGGAAAGGGAACTCTGGCACCATGTCAATGGAAATGTAAATTAGTACAGCCATATGGAAATCAATATGGAGATTATTCAAAAGCTTAAAATTAGAAATGCTTTATAACCCAGCCATCCTACTACTTGGTATATACCCAAAGGAAATAAAATTAATATGTCAGAGACATCTGCACTCCCATGTTCAATTCAGAACAAATTGTAATAAACGAAATAGGAAACAAACACAAGGTAAATTGGTTGATGAACAGAAAATGAATTTTGATATATATACACAATGGAGATCGATTCAGCCATAAAAAGAATAMAATCCTGATTTTTGCAACAGTGTGAGTAGAACTACAGATTATTATGTTAAGTGAAAAATGTAAGACACAAAGACAAGTATATGATCTCACTCAGATGGRATCTAMCAAAGTTGATCTCATCGAAATTGAGAATGGAATGGAGGTACCAGTGGCTAAAAGAGTAGGGGACAGAGAATAAAGAACTATTGAGCAAAGGATACTGAGTAGAGGGGTAGAAGATGTTCAGGTGAGCTCAGCACCCCAAATTCTGCTAAGAAAATAGATCTTGAGTCGGGAGTTCTTATCACAACAATAATAATAAACAAAAAGATGAGAGGACATTTTTGCAGGAGATTGTATAGGAGACTGGATAGTTTTATAGCATGGAGTATGGTGACAGCTTTATATAGGAATATATAACTTGAAACTCACCAAATTATGTATATTATATATGTAGGGCTTTTTATGTTAATGTACTTCAAAAATATTCTATGCTTTTATAATTATGTCAAAATTAATTCTATTGTCTTGTACAACCAAAAAGAACCAATAAAATATTACTTGTTCAAAAATAAAATTTTAAATGAGAAAAGGTTATTCACAGACTTGGACTGAATTGTGTATGGTATGTATGTATGTATATATATATATATATATATATATATATATATATTTACATATTATATATGTGATGAACACCTGTTGAGATCACTTAAAACTACAAAAGAAGAAGCCAAAACTTCTGTTTTATCTGGTAAAGCTATAGATGAAAACCTCACAAGAGATGATATACTAATGACCAATAAGACTGTGAAAGTTTAAATTAACATAAATAATTAGTAAAATTTGAATTAAAGCTACAATAATTTACCACTATGTACCCCCTTAAAAAATAAATTGGACATAATTAAAAATATCAAGTGAACAAATAACTTGACTTTTCTGTTTCAAGTACATCTTCAAATTTGTAGTGTTGCCTCTTAACCAGGATAGCCCATGAGACCCAAAAAGGATCGTAATATAGAACATTGCAGGGTTAAGGCTACTTGCAAACACTCTGAGAAATAAGAAGAGCAGCTTTTTGAGGAAAGTACTCTAACTTACTACTATTAATTTTATGCCTCCACAGCTTTGCTCTGAGGCAATCGACAATAGGTTTCATAAATGGTTCAAGATCAGTCAGAAGCAGGAAGTTCCCTCTGCGACATGCAACATCAGGGAAACTGCACCACTGGTCTCTGCACAAGACTTCTGTTGCCATGCTGTCTGCTTGGCATTCAGCTTTCCAAAAAAAAAAAAAAAAAAAAAAACAAGTTCATAGAGGGAATAGGGACTCTCAAGGGCTTATGGTCCAAAGTACAGGACATAACAGTTCCCCACTCAAGAGGGGTGGATTCTCAAAATCTCTTTCCAGGATGAGACTAAGACAAAACCTTTCCATCTAAGGTAATTAATTCCTGGGAGATAAAGCACAGCTACCAATAAGGTCCAAGAGACTTTATGGAAACCATAAATATCAAGATAATGTAAGAGTAAATACCATCTATAGTAGTCACTTCATCAAATGAGACTCATCATGACAGCACCCACTTGAATGTTTTTCCTTCAAAATTTCTACCTCCTGCCCTAAAGACCAGAGCTGGGTAATGAAGATCATTTTTCCATAATGAAACAAGTAAATCCATTTCAAATTCCAACCCTGGGTTTTCTTTGATACATTCAAGGTTTGATGTGGGAAGGAAAGATTTGGACTTAAGACTCCTTAGTATCTGTTGATTTGACATTGTATTATTTGAATACTCTCTTTCATATTTTAATATTGAAAGATTCTTACTCTAAGTGGAGGTCACTCTGAAGATGGGAGTGCTTCTGAATACCCACAAGCATCATTAAAATCCTCTAAGATTACTAAGGTAAGTTCTTCAACAGGGCTGATGTTCACTAAATATTGTTAGTTTTCATGTACTGAAATTTTACTTTTCAAAGTTTTTAAGTAAGATTATAGGGTGTTTCACCCTCACCTTAATTTTTCAAGAGATGATAAATTTAATCAACCTGATTTAACAGTGGACAATTCAAGAGTCAAAAATGAAGCAAAAATCCTTTAGCAACTGAAGCCTATTTTACCATGAGACACTCTTTTGTTAACTAAGATAATTCACACAGGCAAAAACAAAATTTAAATGAACTTCTCACAAAAAGATTTAATATGAATACTAGATGGCCTAAGACATCAGATATTGAGTAAAATAAAATATGGAAAATCTTTCTGGGATCAATGGCTATRCATAATAGAGGTTTCTGTGGATTCTTTACAAGTAATATTGGAGAGAATTCCTTCACTGTTCAGTGTGTTAATTCTGCACATCTGCTGACTGCACACAGTTAAACATAAAGAAAAGTCCTCTCTATATCCTCAGAACAGTTTTGGGTATGTTCATATAATAATCAATTATCAGATCAGCTTATGAGGTGATATTCTTAATTATCATTCCATAGATAAAAGAAATAGATGGGTGCTTTGCCAGGAAAAAWATAGTTTCAAGTTGAATAACCAGGATTCTAATCAGTTTTCACTAATTTAAAGCCAAGACACTGTGATACTTGTTTTCAACATATCCAGCAGGATCTGTAACCACATTATGRCAGTATTGAGAAAGGGAGAATTGGATGTGAGGGACAGAGAGGATAAATTCCAAGAATGCAGAAACATTTAATTTTTTTTAATATTTGAGAGTTCAAATGAATCATTATATGTCTGTGAGTCTGCTGAAGAACTTAGTTCATATAAAGATGTATCTCAGGTGGTATTTAATTAATCATAATAATTRTGGTCATGTCAAAAGAGAATTATTAGTACATTGCTAAAACAGGGCAATATGGGTTATATAAGTTAAAGCTAAAAATTTGGAGGACAAAAATAAATAGAATAAGAAAAACCTGAGTTCTGTTCTTAGCTCTTATGTTTATTAGCTTCTTCCTTTAGAGCAGAATTCTTAATTTCACTGTGCTTTCATTACAGGCAAAATAAGTTTAAATATACCTATAAGATGATTCTAGCCAACAACCACTACTCTTAAAGTGATTATTAAATATGCAGACATCTGCAAAAGCATTTAGAACACCTGAACAGTTAAATGAATTTTGATTAGCATTGCAATTGCTAAACCACTACAATAATTTTTCTCTCAAATTGTTTCCTTATCTGTGTAGTGAAGTAGTATTACCACACAGGTTATTCTAAGTATTAAAAAGAAACATATGGGGCTGGGACTGTAACTCAGTGGCAGAGCGATTGCCTAGCATGTGTGAGGCACTGGGTTCCATTCTCAGCACCACATAAAAATAAATAAAATAAAGGCATTCTGTCCATCTACAACTACAAAAAAAAGAAGAATTGTGTGTGCAAAGCACTTGGTACTATGAAATTCACTGAACAAATATTGCAAAGTAATTTATTGATGGCTATTATGAAGTTCTTGGGTTTAATCATCCAGCATTATGAATTATTTCAGAGTAGCTTTTTATACTTACATTTCTATCAATGTTGCACTGAAATTCTTCACATCAACTCTCATGGATAGTCAGCCACCTGGGGTTCCTGGATCTGGCTTCCATTATTCACTGAGCCTTGACCAGCTTCTTTCAGGACACATAGTGGCATTTACAAGGGTAATGCCCCAGATTCACCCTTCCTCAGATTTCTTGTCMTACTTGCACTCATTTCCATAGTTATGTTTTGTAGTCTCCATTTTCCTAAGAATAAGGATGAAAATTGTTAACTATACCATGATGACTGTTACATCAATCTTCTACCTCCCTTAGGGACTTAACTGTCACAATCTATCCAATCTTTTACTTATATTTATTCTCCTAGTTTTCTAGTTTCCACAGAGGAGTCCATGTATTCCAAGGGCCTCTTGACTTTTATGTCTATAAGAATTTCTCATGCATATGCTTCTTGCCCAATCATCACTCAGGAGGCATCTGAATAATCTGTAAGGTAACAGAACCAATATTTTATGCTCAACAAAATCCATGAAACAAGCCTGGAACTCATGAGATTTCACAGACAATACAATCCAGGCTTTCTTTCTTTGTGACACGGAGAAGTTTAACAAATTCAAGGTTGCATTCATGTTTTTCAGGTAATAAAGTTGCACAGGAAGTACATGGAGAAAAGGAACAATGTGACAGAGTTTGTTCTACTAGGACTTACAGAAAACCCCAAGATGCAGAAAATTATATTTGCTGTGTTTTTGCTCATCTACATCATCTCTATGTTAGGAAATTTGCTCATTGTGGTTGCCATCACTGCCAGCTCATTGTTGGGGTCCCCCATGTACTTTTTCCTGGCCTATCTCTCCTTTATTGATGCCTGCTAYTCCTCTGTSAATACGCCTAAACTGATTGTGGATTCACTCCATGAAAAGAAGACCATCCTGTTCAATGGATGCATGGCCCAAGTCTTTGGGGAACATTTCTTCTCAGGTGCAGAGGTCATCCTGCTTACAGTGATGGCCTATGACCGCTATGTGGCCATCTGCAAGCCCTTGCACTATGCAACCATCATGAACTGGAGACTGTGTATGCTGCTGGTGGCAGTGTCCTGGATGGGAGGCTTTCTCCATGCAACCATCCAGATCCTCTTCATCTTCCGACTACCCTTCTGTGGYCCTAATGTCATTGATCACTTTATGTGTGATCTGAGCCCTTTGCTCAATCTGGCCTGCACTGACACCCGMACTCTGGGGCTCTTTGTTGTTGCCAACAGTGGGTTCATCTGCCTGCTAATCTTTCTCCTCTTRCTGGTCTCCTATGTGGTCATCCTGTGCTCCCTGAGGACACAGAGCCTAGAGGGAAGGCGCAAAGCCCTGTCTACCTGTGTCTCCCACATCACAGTGATGGTATTATTCTTTTTCCCCTCCATGTTTGTGTACCTGAGACCTGCAGTTACCTTACCTATTGATAAGGCAGTTGCTGTTTTCTACACTATGATAACTCCCATGTTAAATCCTTTGATCTACACCTTGAGAAATGCCCAGATGAAAAGYACCATTAAGAAATTATTTACTAGAAAGTTTCTTTCTGCTGGACAAATAACTATGCCTGAAGATCAACATTGAGTTTACTAGAAAGTGTCAAATGGCCCTTTTGAATGACCTCACCAAGCAGCACTTTAAAGATAAAGATAAAAGTCATATTTACTCAAAACTGTGCTTTATTCMATCTCATTTGTAATTCATGTGATTAATCAAGTTGTTATGTGCATGTGTGAATAGGGCATACCCTTCTTATGTATAAGTATAATGCAAAAATATTTTTAAATTCTGCATTGAGGCAATTAAAAATGTGTGAATAAAAAGGAACAACAAACTCAGGACCATGCTACATGTTGGAAAAAATCTACCAAATCAAGACTTGGTTTTCTTTGCTTTATCCATGTATATAAATTCATAAGCTATCTTTTAATAAGAACAAAATAAATAATTAAGCATTTGTATTAAGCAGAAATCTTTATAGTAAGCAGAACTATTTTCCCCATTTTTTTWAATATGACTAGTTTTCCAAATCATACTGTTAATTTCCATGTTACATGCCCATGCAATGATAATAAATAGATCACATAAATGTGTTCATTATCATTTTAAAAAATACTATTCTGAGCACATTCTGTTTGATAATTGGTTTTCTATACCTAAAAATCTAATAATTTTTATAAATATCTTTTAAAAACTTATATATTATATTTTAGGTAATACATTTTGGATAATATTGTGGTATTACAGACTAGGGCTATAAACATTAGGGACATTTAACTTCTGAGTAGTAAATAATATAGATTTGACCATGTTTCTGAATTTCCTYTTAGTCTTCAGAAAAAATTTTATAGCTCATGTTTTCCTATGTTGATAACCCATTAGATGGATCACGTAAAGAAACTTGATTGTCTCACAGGAACTCAAATTTGRTAATACACAGCTGGACTCCATGAATTACTTGCCTGCTAGCTAGCAGTACTTTAAAGCAGCATCAAGTTTGGTCCCTGATAAGCAGTCAACGATTGAGTAAAAGCAAAAAGACACATAAATAAATTCTGTAAAATTAGTACTAGGGACTAAATTTTTTTTAAMCTTTAATCYGATTCAGACTGGGAGGAAAACATTYTGTTTTCTTTTTTGCCCTACATGAACTGAGCAATGAGAAAGWGGTTGCAACTGACATTCTCTTCATATGAACAAAAACATTAGACCCTGATATTCTCTCAGCAAGATCTCATTATCTATGCATGKTGGCTATTGATGACTTTTTTTCTGTAATTTTGTGGTAACATTGTAAAACATATTTGTCAAAGTATATAGCTCTCTCTACACAAAAGCAACYTCAGTATTTTTGTTTGTTTTTTCATTCACTGATTTGTTCACTCATTAATAAACACAGTGATTTGAGGGATTGCCCCGAGATGAATGAAAACACACCAGTTTCTTCTTTCCCAGGGCTTAAGATTCATTGAGAGACTCCCAGAAGGGAGTGGAAAGAACTCCTGAGAATTATATATACAAGTTAAGATGGACAGAGGGCTA